CTTAGAGCTTTCTCTTTTTCCCATACATTCTCCAAGAGAGAGTGGAGACGGCTGGTGAACAGAGGTCCTCCTTCATTACACGTCTCGGCTGGGATTCCATCAGGCCCTGAGGCTCTTTTTTTTTCATTTGTTTCATAGCAGTAGTTACCTCAACCAGAAATGGAGGATAGCTGAGGTGGGTCAGCTCCGGATGCTGAGGGACCTGCTGGGTAGTCAGGACATTCATATCGGTGTTTCGGTTGAGCAGAGAATGGTAGTGCTCTTTCCAGCGCTGAAGGAGGCCTTCTTCGTCTTTAATTAGGGAATTACCGTTGGATGAGTGGAGGGGGGCGGCGCCATAAGTGATTTGCCCATAAAATGGGCTGCCGCTTTCTTTCTGCAGAAGATATCAGCTTTGGTTAGGAACTTAGTGTTGTTCTGCCAGTCAGTTGAAGCAGCCCGTTTTTCATCGACGAGTACATTAATTGCCGGGACATTTTCATTAAACCAATCCTGATGTATTCTTTCAATCTGGCCGAGGACCTCTCTGTAGGTTTTTGTTATGAAAGTGTTGAGAATACCTTACTTGGCACTGGGATTTGGGTTGTTTGTTGTTGGTTTGTTTATCAGTCCATGTTCGAGCTGCTATCTGAAAGCATGTGCTACCGCTGGATCCTCCAGATGCTGAGTGTTAAGACCTCTTCTGGAGGCTTGCTGCCTTAGCTTTTTCGGGGCGACGTGAAGTGAGAGCTTGGCTCTGACGAGCCGATGATCAGTATCTCAATGGTCTGAGCCATGCATAGCTTGGGTGATGAGGAAATCTCAGCGATCTCTTTCTCTGACAATGATGTAGTCAATGAGATGCCAGTGTTTATATCGTGGGTGTTGCCACCAACCATTGAACTTGTCGGCCTGCCTAAACAATGTATTGGTGATAGTAAGGTTCTGTGCAGCACACTTGCTGAGGAGGAGTAGGCCGTTGGGATTACACGTGCCTAGTCCATTTCTCTCTATGATTCCCTGCCAAATGTCAGCATCTCTGCCAACTCTGGCATTGAAGTCTCCAAGGAGGAAAATCTTATCTTCTCTGGAGATAGAGATTAGCACATCTGTCGAGGTCGGCGTATGCACTGATGAAAAAGGCATGACGCGAGTGATTCAAAGGGACTGTGAGCGTCATGAGGCGCCCGTTGATCCCAACCGGCATTTCAGTTAGCCTGTGTTGGATGCGTTGGCTGGCAAAGCCAACTCCATAAATTCGTTTTCTCTCCACAGCAGGCTTGCCCTTCCAGAAGGTATAGCCAGACCCTCGTTCTGTGAGCCGAACTCGTCAGGGAGCCGGGACTCACTAATGGCTGCTATGTCGATGTTATACCAAGCCAGCTCTTTTGCCACAAGGGCGGTTCTTCTTTCAGGAAGCTCATTTATGGCAATATCCAGAAGGGTACTGACATTCCATGTAGCGACCATAAGAGGTTGTATAGTTTTGTTTTGCTTTGATCTGTGATTATTGTTGCGTTTTTGATTGCATAAGATTGACCTTACTGGGTGCGGTTGCCTAGTTAGGTTGGTTCTTTAAGCAGGCTTTGTTTAGGGCACCTTTCTAGCCCCCTCCCCATGTGAGGTGAGCAGAGTGACTGCTCAGTTACACATACAGGACCGGATTGCGCTACTGCCTAGATCCCAGTGCATAAACGACCATCTTATCTGTCCCGCCCATGTGCAGAGTTGTGAGTAGAAACTCCCGATTATCATCTCTGCCGGTCCCCGTCGCCACTCGTTCGTCGCCATAGGAATTTTGGGTGTATAGTGGTTTTGATGATGATGAGTATGATGAACTGGATGATGGCTGTGTCTGAGTTGATTTATGTCGTAAGTCAGGGACGCAGGCTGCAACCATACATCTTGGCTCTCCCTTTTCCTGATCCAGTGATGCAAGTGTTGCAACGATTTTGGAGAGGGAGATGTTGGAATGGACTGCCGATAGCCCAGTTTGTTGGGCTTCACCTTAGTAGCCTGTCCATCATGCATTGCCTTCGTCCGCCGGTGTAGTCGTTGGGTTCCCATGGTGGTCACCTCTTCCGCCTGTACCGCCGTTTTGGCTCTTGTTAGAGCTCTATAAGCATGTCTGCCTGATGCAGGGCTCCACTGCAGATTTTTCGTTCAGGGATTACTCCCGTAGCCTTATACATACCAAGGTTAATCCGCAAGGCAGCAGGGCAGTGGTTGGTAGGAGCCAGGATGTGTCCACATGTCAGTGGGCCGATGCGCCGTCCCTTTGGGGGCCACTGCTACTCCGAGATCCAATACCGGTCTAGCCTGGGCCCACGAGGTACCATGGTACCATGTGTTGCCACGAGAAGACACAGCAGGAGTCTTGATGGTGAGGAGGCTGTGTACTGGCAGGGGAAGTGTTTTGCAAGTTGCTTCCCTGTTCGTCATGAGGGATTTCTAGCGGCGTAGCTGAAAGCTAGAGGAAGCAAGCAGCGCTTGCACCTTAACACTGACATAATGCTGCCACACTAGACGTATTACTCCACCCTGTGTGTGCGCGCGCATACACACCACCTCTCTCTCTCTCTACCACAATCAACACAAACACACACCACCTCTCCCCTTCTACTACAATCAATAGATACACCATCTCGTTCTCTCTACCACAAACAACACACACCACCCCCCGCTCCCTACCACAATCAACACACACACCACCCCCCCTCCCCGACCACAATCAACACACACACTTACCATCCTCCTGACCACAATCAACACACACACAACTTTACCCCCTCCCTACCACAATCAATAGATACAATTCATCTGTCTCTCTACCACAAACAACACACACCACCCTCCCCTACCACAATCAACACACACATTTACCACCCTTCCGACCACAATCAACACACACATTTACCACCCCCCTTCCCTACCGTAATCAGCACACACACACACCACCTCCTTCTCTCACCACAATCAACACACACACTTACCTCCCTGACCACAATCAACACACACACTTACCACCCTCTTCCCTACCACAATCAACACACACATTTACCAATTCCCTACCGTAATCAGCACACACACACCACCTCCTTCTCTCTACCACAATCAACACACACACTTACCACCCCCTCCCGACCACAATCAACACACACACTTACCACCCTCTTCCCTACCACAATCAACACACACATTTACCACCCCCCCCTTCCCTACCGTAATCAGCACACACACACCACCTCCTTCTCTCTACCACAATCAACACACACACTTACCACCCTCTTCCCTACCACAATCAACAACATACACACTACATTACGCTTTATGTGGTCAAAGTGCAGATTGCGACCACCTTAATTGAATCACGTGAACTGTAATTCTGATAAGTCTTTTTGTCTTAGTAATTTCAATTGTTAGGTACAATTTGCACATTCACGTAGGGTTTGGTGAGGACATTAAAGATTTGTGTGTAAGGAGGTCTCTCTCTCTCTCTCTCTCTCTCTCTCTCTCTACTTATCCAGAAAGTATTAGGAAAGGCAGCTCACTAGGCCTTCTGACCTGACTTCTAGGCCGCCTCAGTTGTCACCTAAACCACACTGGTATATTTTAGGCAAGAGTCTTAATGCCTGTATGAACACACACACACACACACTCTTAGTTACACAAATTAAACCAAGAACACAATAACGTAACATTATGACACTTGGAGGTACGTAGTTTAACCCTGGGCGATTATAATGTAGCTTTATCACACGTGAGACTGCGTAGTTTAAACCAGGATAATAATTATACGAGTTTATAGCAAGCGGAGCTACGGAGTTTAGTCAAGGATAATAATAGCGCAATATTATCAAACGTGGAATTATTCTGCTTAAAACAAGGATGATTATAATACATATTTATAACACTTGAATAATTATGACGTAGCTTTATAACTCATGAAAAATACTCAATTTAAATAATATTAGTCAAATCCTAAATGATTGTGATTGCGCGGATTAGTAACACTCAGAATGAAACGGGATGATGATGATGACCAAATCCAGAATGATAATTTAGTAAAATCTGGAAACGTTGGGAACGATTTGCCAAAAGGTGGTACAGTGTCACTATCACCATCACCACAACTACCACCATTACTACCACCACCACTACCACCATCACCACAACTACCACTACCACCATCACCACAACTACCACTACCACCATCACCACAATTACCACTACCACCATCACCACAACTACCACTACCACAATCACCACAACTACCACTATTACGATCACCATCACCAATACCACCATCACTATTACTACCACCGACAAAACTACCACTATTACTACCACCACCACTACCACCATCACCACAACTATCTCTATTACTACTACCACCATCAATACCACCACCATTATTACTACCACCACCACCACCACAACTACCACTATTACTACTACCACCACTATCAGTACCACCACTACCACCATCACCACAACTACCACTATTACGATCACCATCATCAATATCTCCACCACTATTACTTCCACCGACACTATAATTACCATCCCCACCATCACTCTCACCACCACCACTACTATTACTATAACCATCATCACAACTACCACCATCACTATCACCACCATCACTGCCACAAAGCCACCACCACTACCATCATCACCACTACGTCCACTGCCACTACTACCCACCACACTACTACTACTGTCACCATTATCAACTCCACCATCTCCATCACCATTATCACCAGCACCATCCCCATACCAACACCTCTCCACCACTACCACCATCACCACTACCATCAGCACAACCACCACCATCTCAACCAATTATTATTTCCGGGTTGCAAAAGTATCAAGGCAACACTGAACTTTTAATTTCATATTTGCCTTTTTCTTTTCTATTCGTCGTTTAAATGTTTATTATGAAGTGTGTGTGTGTGTGTGTGTGTGTGTGTGTGTGTGTGTGTGTGTGTGCGGCAGGTATCCTTTAATAAAACACAAAGTAAGACTCAGCCGTATAATGTTTACTTTACATCAATATTAAACTTTCAGGGAACACACTGCTCTCCGTCACCAGGCCTGAGTGAGGTTGACGCTTCTGCACACCTCGCTAAATAATGGCTTCAGCCAAATAGTTTTATTGTCCAAACTCATAATTTTCCTCTTAAAACTATTGAATGAGAAAATGGTTATAGTTTTTGTCATAAATAAAAATTACTTGAGAAAAAATATATATTTTGATAACGAGTTATGTTTTTCAGTTTCATTCGAGCCAATGTGAATTACACGAAAGCGCTTGGGAATTTCGTGTTTTCTTTTTCCTTGTGGTTATCAGCATATACCTGGATCACGCGCACCTACAGTGATTTATTTGCATATATATATATATATATATATATATATATATATATATATATATATATATATATATATATATATATATATATATATATATATATATATATACATATATATTAAATAGCGAGATGTGTTGTCGATCTTCCTGTTCTAACACAATATGTACTAGCATTGTGTAGTTTGATTGCACAACTGCTTCGTGTGTACAGACCCTGAAGGCTGCACTCTTCACCAAGCTGTAAAGAAGTGCTCTCTCTCTCTCTCTCTCTCTCTCTCTCTCTCTCTCTCTCTCCTCCAATTTAAAGCTTCATGACAGTAAGTAGATCCCACGGTGAAGTATGTTGCTGATATACTCTCCTCTTACCCATGATCACCCTTGTGTCCTCTCAGTACACGGTCGTCTTCCTCAGACTCGTCCACACACAAAAATTACGATATTTTCATGTCTCGTTTGACGCTCGAGATGGTCACCACTGAGTCTCGTGTCTCGTCTCGTTACACAAGGTTGCGGTAAGTTGGGAAACATCTTTACAACTTTTGGGAGATGTTTTTAACTGAGATCTTTCTCTAGAACTTAAGAGATGATAACAGAGCTAATCTGTGTAGTTTGGTGGGGTTGCTATAAATGCAAGTTGGAGACCTTGTACTATGTGTGTAAACGCTCACTGTCTCGACCACGAAACTGGTGTGTTGGTTTTCTCGTCAGACAAACACAGACGTCTAGATCATGAGACTCCTACACAAAAGCAGATATTATCCCGAACACTGAGGAGACGCTTCTTAAGAGACCATAATCATATAGGTTGGGTCGTGCTCTAAAACGGCACACTGGACTTGACCCAGGAAGGCCTGTTTATAGTCTTCATTAAGGCCGTCATTAAGAGAGAGCCAAGTGGTTAGGTTATTAGATAATTACAGGTAGTCTGGACGACGAACGATGATATCCATAATTTGAGGGAAGAGAAAACAAGGTAGAACCCAGCTTTCCTTAAATCTGTCTACAGGATTATAATAAAAATGTCAGCTCTCACGAACCCAGGATCTAAAAACTCTTTAAGTCTCCCTGAAGCAGCGTCCACAGAGAATGGTGTCGGACTGATGCCCGGCTGACACATTTTGAGATTTCTAATATAATTGGACACTAGTCGATGTCCAGTTTCCTGAAGGAGCCATCTGGTCCCCCGAAGATGTTGGATGTGGTCTTTGGTTTACCGGGACGTCTGCTTTCGTCCGCCCGGTAGTTCTCGTCCTCCAGGAACCAGTCCCGGTAGCTGTCAATCTTCTGTAGCCAGTAATCTGATGAGGGAAATGATAATATAAGCATCTAAGGTGAAGATGGAAACGGGACTTAAATGAAGAGTTAAAAGATAAGTGTTATTCTAGTGGGGGATGTGACAACATTAGTACTCAACTAGGACTTCATGACGAGTGGTACTTTGGTGAGGAGACAGGCATCAGTACTCTAGAGAAAAACCATAAGATTTATTATACTCTGATGGAGAGCTGGAGAACACAGGTGAGGTGCAGCAATTAAGTGTAGTTTAAGATCAGTACTGAGATACGGGAGTACAAGATTATCACTGTAAATTGTTACTGTAGAGGAAGTGACAAGAGGTGAGAACATCTGCCTCTCACGTACCTGCGTTCTCGGCGACAGAGCCTCCCGAGCCGCCGTACTCCGTGGGCAACATAGTCTGGGGTACGTGACTGTGCATTCCGGACAAGTTGCTCCCGTGCACGTGAATCTGAAATCGCATCGAGTGAAGACAGCGTATGATTCGATAGTTATCTCTTAATGTTATGACAAATAGAAAACGAAAGCTCTTAGCAAACAACACCTTTCACACCTCTCTCTCTCTCTCTCTCTCTCCCTCTCTCTCTCTCTCTCTCTCAAAGTACCTCTTGTCACACCTGATAAGAGTACTCACCCTCTTCTTCATCTTCTCTTTCATGAATGGCTTAAAGATGATGAAGAGCGTGTCGAAGGCCTGAGGTGTGTTAATGTAGTGGACGCTCTTAGGCCGCAGTGGGTAACCTTCCTGCAGGGGAGAGAGGGAACAAGTTCTACCACGTAACAGAAGTAAATAAATTATAACCTTTCTGCCGAGATGGGAGGGGGGCAGGGGGAAGGGAGACAGGAGGTAGGGAAGGAGGGACGAGTTTCAACAAGTTTTACCAGTAATAGAAGCAAAGACAAAACCTCCTGCAGGGATGAGAGAAGAGGAGGAAACTGAATAAATTCTATCATGTATCAGAGGCAGTAGAAGTATAACACTCCTCCAACAGTGAAGGAGAGAGGAAGAGGAGGAGGTAGTGAAGAATGAGGAGAGGAGGGAGGCATTGAAGGAGAGAAGGAGGGACCGAAATTCAACAAGTTCTACCAGGAATTGGTGGTAAAACTATCCTTACTAGAGGGGCGAGAGCGAGTGTGTACTGTACAACCTTTACCGTGTATTGTAAAGGTCGCGAGGGTGATGGAGGAGTTTGTATTGATCACTATATACCAGGTATGGGTCAATAACATGCCAATACTATTGTAATTAGTTGAGTTCTCTTCTCTGATGGGAGGGATAATGGGTTTACCTGAAGATTAACACCCCTGAGCTTATGCCATCGAAAGACTATCCCCCTTCACACTACCAAGGGGGCTAGGCTAGGCTAGGCTAGGCTAGGCTAGGCTAGGCTCGGCTAGGCTAGGCTAGAGTAGGGTAAATTAAGTCACGTCTGGTTAGGTTAGGTTACCATCGAAGTGGTTTATCACCGGGATGTATAAGTGGGGAAGGGGAGAATCTTCAGTTGATCCAGTCAGTCAGTCAGTCAACATCACTCATATTAACACAGCGGGTGATATCTCGTCTTAAAGGATGTCAACAAAGCCAACGAGAAGGATCAGGAGGGCTAGGAATGTCAGTCTAACTATCTACAGTATATAAAAGTCACTTGGCACATCAAACTCACCCCGCCCCCTCCCCCTCTTTTCACCCACACCGAGTTACCGAATATAAATGTTTTTTTCGTTTATCTTCGCTATCTGAACACCACCTTCGCCATTGTATAACGTGGGCTCACTCACACACACACACACACACACACACAATATGTACAATCTGCGTCCCTCATGCTCATATCCAGCAATAAGGACAAGGGTGATGTACACGTGTTGGCTCTGCGTCTTCATTTACTTCGCCTACCTACCTGCCATAACCACGTCCTCATGTTTACCCACCTACCACCACCACACTCCCGCCCATCTACCAACACCACACGCTCACCCACCTACCACCACCACACTCCCGCCCATCTACCAGCACCACACGCTCACCCACCTACCAGCATCACACACTTATCCACCTACCAGTACCACACACTTACCCAACTTCCAGCACCACACACACTCACCTACCTACCAGCACCACATACTCACCCACCTATCAGCACCACACTCCCGCCCATCTACCAGCACCACACGCTCACCCACCTACCAGCATCACACACTTATCCACCTACCAGTACCACACACTCACCCAACTTCCAGCACCACACACACTCACCTACCTACCAGCACCATATACTCACCCACCTATCAGCACCACACTCCCGCCCATCTACCAGCACCACACGCTCACCCATCTACCAGCATCACACACTTATCCACCTACCAGTACCACACACTCACCCAACTTCCAGCAACACACACACTCACCTACCTACCAGCACCACATACTCACCCACCTATCAGCACCACACACTCACCCACCTACCAGCACCACACCCTCACCCACCTACCAGCACCACACCCACCTGCCAAGTCAACATGACCTTCCTGATCAGCGGGAGAGGAAGGGCGGAGATGTGCTTGAAGGTTAGACCGGCCATGTCGTTAGCCTGGACGATGCCCGTGACGGTGGTCTGCTCGTCCTCCAGGAACAACACGTCAAACAGCATCCCCGCGACCTTAAACATGTCCTCTGGCTTCACCTTGTTGGGATCCCAAGCTCCCATCCTGCCGAAGATTACCTTACGCCCTTGTGGGTCGTAGCCAGGCAGCGGGAACATGAGTCTATCCGGGAGAGGAAGAGGGATATATAATGGTTAAGGGAGGGGTGAGGGTGTGAGAGAGAGGTAAGGGGTGTGGGTTGAGATTGTGGCGTGAGGGTGAAGGTGAAGGCTGGGGGTTAAGGGTGAGGGGTAAAGGTGAGGGTAAAGGGTAAGGGGTGTGGGTGAGTATAGTGGGTGAGGGTGATGGTGAAGGTGAGGGGTAAAGGTGGGGAGTGAAGGTGTGTGGTGAGCGTGGAGTGTGGGGTAAGGGATGTGGGGTGAGGATGTGGGGTGTAGGAAGGGTAAGGTGAGGGGTAAGAGGTGAAGGTAAGGGGTGAGGGGGTGAGGTGTGAGAGGTAAAGGGATGAGAGGTGGGTTAGTCCCCTGATTCATCTTCACTGATAAGGGTTTTCTTATTTAATCATTTCATATACAAATTATGTGTAAATATCAAATATCAACACATGAATGTCATTATGTATGCATATTTAGTCATATAAATCCACTACTTAAGCATTTAGTATTACCATCAACATGATAATTGTTTTTTTGTATACATTTCATAACGAGAAAAGTCACAAAAACCCAAAACATAAGACTAAGTCTTATAAAAGTTTAACAACAATTCATGTAAATTCAACCTTTAACTTGACCTGTTGAGCGATTTATTGAACCATCAGAGAACATGATATTTCGTTCACGTTCTCCAAACCTGTTCGCTCACCCCATCTTTAGGATAGCCCGGACTGTAGGATTTTGAGGGTCGCGCCCCTGGAACATATCGGGCAGGGCTCCCTTACACGTGTAGTACATTTCGATTTTGGCTTTGGTCTTCTCCAGAGAGAATTTACATCCTCGGAGGTAGCGAAGGATTGTCGTCCTGTCTGTGGGGAGGACACGAAGAATTAGGACCATGGTAACTGTGTGGTTAGGTTAACTTAGTATGGGCTCAGTTAAATTAGGTTCAGTTAGATAAGCAGTAAGGTAGGTTAAGATCATGTCAGTAGTGAGAGGTTAAGTTAGATAAGTTAGGTTAACATTCCACACCTCCCTTAAAATAGTCTAATTTAGATTAGTCAATTAAACCACATTATGACGGATGAGAATTTAAATAACAATATCCTCAGGAAAACATTACATTATCCCAAAAAACAAAAATAAAACACAAAAATTAACATTATCCTCAAAAGAAAAATATTATCCCCAGAAAAAAAATATCATATCCCAAGCAAAGGCACAAATATATAACCTATTGATAACATTTGCCTCAGACCCATAAATTAGAATTCCTTTGACACGAAGGTAAGTGATATATACTGTAGGTTTATTTCTCAGTGCTGATACAGAAAGTGTGCTCGTCAGGATGTGAAAAGGTAAACAAACACCTTATCAGCCTCATTCACACCCGGGTGAACTCTGTGTGTGTGTGAGTGTGTGTGTGTGTTCTCTATACATAAATCCTCATTCTAAAAGCATTAATTTACCTCCATATTTCCTAAGAAGTTTGATTTATGCCCATAAATTAAATTCTAAGGGATGAACAAACGTACCCAAGACTCGACACGATAATAGATGTTGCATAATAACATTGAAACTTTACATTTTCTTTGAACAACAAAATATAAAACTAAAAAAAAAAAAATCTAGAATTTCGTTCACTCATTCTTGCCCCAGGTCGTTACAATTTTCAGACAAGTCGCGTATTTTTTTTTTCTTTTCTATTCAAGATTCTCTGGGAACTGCTTTGTGAATTTCAATAAAATCTGACCCAATGCATTTGAAGGGTGACTTTAATTCATTGTACTCGGAGGCTTGTCATCGTACTCAAGAAATTAATGTATTCTACTAGTGGGGCTAATTCACTATACTCAGGAGGTTGGAATCGTACTCAAAGGGTTAAAATAATAATTACTCTATCTGATAATGCAGTGTACTAAGGGGATGATAAAATGTACTCAGATGGTTAAGATATTGTACTCAGTGGACTAATTCACTGCACTCAGGAATTTGTCATTGTACTCTTGAAATTGACATCGTACTCATGAAATTAGCATCATACCCACGAAATTAACACCATACTCAGGCAATTAACACCAAACTCAGGAAATTGGCATCATACTCAACAAAATTGGCATTGTACTCAGGAATTTAGCATCGTACTCATGAAATTGGCATCATACGCATAAAATTAGCATTATACCCAGGAAATTAACATGATACCCAGGAAATAGGCATCGTACTCAAGAAATTGGCATCGTACTCGGGAAATTAGCATCGTACTCAGGAAATTAACACCATACTCAGGAAATTAACATTATACTCAAGAAATTGGCATCGTACTCAAGAAGGTAGAAAAATCATCTCAATCTGTAAAAATCGATTCGGGAAATAGTTGAGGATTTCCGGGCCATCTTGGTGTAAGTGTGACGCCATTAAGAATATTATAACTCTCAAGATAACGACCTGGAGATGGTTCTATTATGGCGCATTAAACCTAAAGATAATGTTGGCTTAACTCTTTGTGTCTTCTTCTTCTTCTTCTTCTTCTTCTTCTTCTTCTTCTTCTTCTTCTCGTCCTTCGTATTGTTCTTTTATTTTATTATTATTATTATTATTATTATTATTATTATTATTATTATTATTATTATTATTATTATTATTATTATTATTATTATTATTATTATTATTATTATTATTATTATTATTATTATTATTATTATTATTTGAAGGCCAAAACAGAACCTAAAACGGAAATTGGTAATTCCATTGTTTATCCGAGTCGTTGTGAGTCGGCTGAACCAGTCACATCAATTGTTTATGAGTCGTTTTGAGTCGACTGATCAATCACACAGTCTTTCCAACTCTCCCTTATTTCGCTATACCTCACAGGTACTGAAAGAACCTGCTGTTACTCACTTATCATGTAAGTCCTAGCGAAAGGCAGGTGGCTGGCACTCACCTGTCCTAGCGTTCAGATAAGGTTGCCTCGTTAGCCAGTTCCTCACAGCTTCCACATCTTCCTCACGTCTCGTAGGATGTTCTCCCAATTCCTCCCTCGCCAGCTTCTGCACCTCCACACTCAAGGTATTCACGTAAGCCTCAGCGCCTGGCATCCTGTCAGATGTAAACAACCTGAGTACACATAATCATACAACGACATACGTTATACATGAGTATCCATGAATCATATTACAACATACACTATACATGAGTATCCATGAATCATATTACAACATACATTATACATGAGTATCCATGAATCATATTACAACATACATTATACATGAGTATCCATGAATCATATTACAACATAAATTATACATGAGTATCCATGAATCATATTACAACATACATTATACATGAGCATCCGGATTCAAATAAAATGGAATGAGAAACACGCTCCTTTGCGGACACTGGGGGGCTTAAAACTGACCCCAAACGTCCCGTACACAACAATATATCATCTACCTTCGCTGTTGCTTATTTGGAAAACCAATGTACAATATGAACAAAGACAGGCACCTATCTACATTTAAGAAACACGTACAACATGAAAAAAAAATTTCATCACTCCTACCTAATATGGTAAACTCTATAAGTACTGAAGTTACCATCCTAGCTCCTCAAAAAACACAAACCATCATGGCCACACACAGCAGGTAGGAGAGAGAGAGAGAGAGAGAGAGAGAGAGAGAGAGAGAGAGAGAGAGAGAGTAACTAAAAACATTTTACATATATGTTATTCAAACGTTAAGTAAAAGTTGGGGGAGAGAATACAAATATGTTTGACTTGACCTGTATATGATTACTTGTCGCCAACCAGAGGTGGCCAGACACACACACACACAAAGTCGGAACTGGATTAATTCATATCATATATCTACAACTGCCGATCTACTTTATCATGGCATCTTTTTTTAGAACCATTTAACTTATTAATTTATTTAACTCTTTCTTCATGTCAAATTGTATACAACTATTTAACTATGGCAACCTGAACTGACTACTTCATTATATCACTGTGAACTGACTACCTCCACTATGACACCCTGAACTGACTACCTCATTATGGCACCCTGAAATGACTAACCCATTATGTCAGCCTGAACTGACTACCTCATTATGACACCCTGAACTGACTACCTCATTATGGCACCCTGAAATGACTAACCCATTATGTCAGCCTGAACTGACTACCTCATTAAAAACACCCTGAAATGACTAACCCATTATGTCAGCCTGAACTGACTACCTCATTATGGCACCGTGAACTGACTACCTCGTGGTAACATCTACTAGTGGGGCAGCTAAATGCAATTTTTCAAGAGAATTATGCAAATGGTGATACAAGCACCAAATTTGGCATGGTAATTCTCTATTGGTTACTAGTCAAGTCTGCCTGATTGGCCTTTTAAAAATCCAAGATGGCGGCCATTTTTCAAGATGGCCGCCATATTGACCTTCAAAAGTTGATTTTTCTTATAGCAATTGATGTAGTTGGTTAATCTGAGTGATCTTGGTGTCGATATGTATATTTTCAAGCATGCTCTGATGATTTTTTTTTTTAGTTTTAAGTCCACTATAACATTTTTATCCACATAAAATAACTCTTTTAGTAAAAAAATATGACAAAAAAGAACTTACTAAAAAAAAGTACTCACTATTAGCACTGGTTCCTGTGACTTCTCGTGACAGTACATCTTTGTGCATTTACTGCTGTTCACATATGCAGCTGCAAAGTGCTGTGCAGGAAAGTCCAGAACGAAAACATTTGCATCTCTGGTTGCAGTCTTTCTTACAGGAACATTTGGTCATCCCCTGACAGCATGTCACAATCGGGGGAGGAGTCGTCCAACGCATCTGCCATGCCCCTCCTGTCTGCGTCCATCCCCAATTGACAGGACTGCTGGTTTCTGGATTGGAGATTGTTGCCTGGCCCCAGATGATACCAGCCTGGTAGGCAGCCCGCTTTGCATGTTCCTTGAGGGCTGCCTGGGTCGGTGGAATGGAGTCATATGGTCTCTGCTTGCGGGAAAAGAGATTTAGTCTTGCCTCATCTACACCAGTGGCTGCACTAGATCTGTCGTACATGAGGACAACAAATCTTTCCAGCTTCTGCAGGTCAACATCAGCAACTGTTGATGGACATTGGCTGAGTTTGGTGAATGTTTCTGAAACTTCAACACAGACATTCCATGTCTGCCATGCAGATTTTTGTCCTTTCCCACGGAAGCCAGACACAACGTCACAGCCAGTGAAAGCATGAAAGTGTAGGATCCCACTAGCTGTCTTAGGCCCTATCGCAGAAACTACATCATGAACTGGAATCCATCGATGACTGGCTCCTTGGCAAAAGGCAATCCACATGTTATCAAGACCAAGTTCCTGTAATGATGGCAGTACAGATACTGCTATGACGACCACGTCATTGTCATTGGCTTGCTACCTTCCATTGCTGCATCCCTGGAATGCACAAATATTCGTGTGTTTGCTTCCTCACGACAGCCTGGAGCCACAGCTTCTAGGGACTTCTCTGTGTTGCTAATGGCTTCTTCTCCCTTTGTCACAACCACCGTGCTTGTCGTCTGTGCTTCACACATTTTCTCCGCGAGAAAATGGAATAGTTCTGTCTTGTTTTTGTCATCTCGCAGAAAGCTTCTCCAGGTTTTGGGAGTCTTACTGGTTCCTGTAACTCTTCTCCTGATCCCCTGTCCTCGTTTCGGCCTGGCTTCAGACTTCAGACTTGACTTTTTGTACACATCAAACACAACATCCACCCTATTTTATTTGGCACCATAGAATTCCACTTTGGGCAGGATGTCTTCTCTGGCATAGGCATCAAAAGTCTTTGAGGTGCGTGGAGGCAGGGCATTGATCAGTGCTGAGCCATCTATCATGATAGCATCTATGTGGTTCTCTCTTTGTAGAATTCACTTGTGCTTGAAGAATTTCAGCCAGCTGTGACTTCTGACATGTATGAAGCTTGCCATTGTCACTGAGGGAGGCAGGAGCTGACTGGTTCTCATGCTTGAAGAATTCTTGCAAGTCATGCTGTCTGTTCTGACTGGAGATGAAGAGTCGCGAGAACAGCTGACAGTTATCTTTCAGTACCTTCTCTTTGGAACTGCTAACAACGTGGCCATGTTTGAAGAAGGAGGATCTGTTTTTCTTGATTGGATGGTTGAACAGACATTTACCCTCATTCTTTAGTTCCTCTAAGAATGACTGGAATTGCTCTTTTCCTCTGCTATGGTGTGTACCAACCATTTTAGCAATATCTGGATCTACAATGTTCTTTGTGTCTAACACCAGAAGGTCAGGTGACTTGGAAAGAGTTGTCCATCTCTTGCAGCACCTTGGAATGTGCTTCCACCTTCTCAAAGAAAGATTTCTGTGCACTCAGGGTCTGCTCATGATGTCGGCTGCTGGTGGTGGTTCCATCTTTTGCACCTGACGCAGCTTCATATCCAGCAACAAGACGACTCACTTCAGGTCCAGCCACCATCCACCTACGAAGTGCTGCTGGGTCCTCAGTCAACCCAATTGCTCCTCCATCCCCTTTAATTACTGCATTGTTTTGTTCATGGGCTTGATCAATAGCAATGGCAGAGAACTCTCTTCCTGACTTGTGAACCAACTACATCAATTTCTATTAAAAAAAATCATCTTTCGAAGGTCAATTTGGCAGCCATCTTGGATTTCCAAATGGCCAATCAGGCAGATTTGACAAGTAGCCCCTCGGGTATGATCATGCCAAATTTCATGCTTGTATCACCATTTGCACGATTTTTTTTTTGGGGGGGGGGTCACTCCCCTACATCCTTGTGTAAGGTGAAGCGCAGAAGCGTTTACAGTGCCCAACAGGGAAGCATGCTAAGTTCATGCTTGCCTTTATGTCTAATGAGTTAAGGGCGTAGAAGCCTGAAGAGTCAATGGTTCATGTCATCAAGTTATTGGAAGCTCCAACAACTTGTCCCTGAATACGAATTCGCAACTTTCGATTTACACCAGGTACCTACTTTACTGCTAGGTGAACAGGGACTAATGGGGGCTAGGAAGTATGTCCAAACAACTTCCACCGGCCCGGGAATCAAACCCGTGACATCTCGCTTGCGAAGGCAAGAGCGGTACCACTCTACCACCAGCACCACCGTTTTTTTTTTTTCATTATCCGCTCTACTATACAGGAGCACAGTGGTGGGAGTTGACCCCTGGTGCACCTGAGGCAGAGAACGTGGCCACAACACCTCACCGGGGGCGCTGGTGGTAGAGCGGTACCGCTCTTGCCTTGCTAGCAAGATGTCACGGGTTCGATTCCCGGGCCGGCAGAAGTTGTTTGGACACTCTTCCTAGTCCCCTTAGTCCCTGTTCACCTAGCAGTAAAGTAAGTACCTGCTGTAAATCGAAAGTTGCGAAAGTTGCGAATTCGTATTCAGGGACAAGTTGTTGGAGCTTCCAATAACTTGCTAAGACATAAAAACCATTGACTCTTCAGGCTTCTACGCCCTTGACTCTTCAGGCTTCTACGCCCTTAACTCATGAGACATAAGGCAAGCATGCTTCCCCGTTGGGCGCTGTAAACGCTTCTGCGTAGGGGGGGAGGCAATAAAAAAAAACTCACCCACCTGCTCCTCTTCACCAGGTTTATCTTTGAACCTGAGACACTACCCAGGTGTTATAATGATGCCATGATACTGGGAAGGGGAAGGGAGGTGCGTGAAGGAGGAGGAGGAGGAGTAGCAAGAGGGGGAGGTGAGGGAGGAGGAGTAAGAGTAGGAGGAGTTAAGGGAGGAGAAGGAGGAACAGGAAGAGGTGGTGAGAGAGGATGAAGAGGAGGAGCAGGAGCAGGTGACTCGGGGGGTGAGGGAGGAGGAGGAACAGGAGGAGAAGACGCAGGAACAAGAGGGGGTGAGGGTGGAGGAAGAATAGGTGAAGGAGGAGGAACTAGAGGGGGTGAGGGAGGAGGAGGAACAGGAGCAAGAAGAGGTGAGGGAGGAGCAGAAGGAGGAGGAGGGGATGATTCAGCTGTTTAATGAATATCTCTCTCTTGGTGATTGATCAGTCGACTGGAAGGTTGACTGAGTGACTTAATGACTGACTGACAGACTGACTGACTGACTGAGATATTCCTGAGCGTCAACACCCGCCTCCCTGCTCCCGCTGTGTCCCACACTCATCCAAGGGAAAGTCATTCATGAGTCAGATCAGTGGAGGCGGACGTTGTAAATAAGCCTAAATAAACGGATCTAGATATATGAGTTAAAAATAAGGAATAAGATGAATATTAACACCCTCAGCTTATACTTCATCCGATGATTAACTATCCTAACACTAACCTAACCTAGTCTAATCTAACTTCTCCTCATCTCTCTAACTCTAAATTATCCTAATGTAACCTCCCTAACGCTAACCCATCCTGACCTACCCTAATATAACCTAACCAAACCTAACCTAAACTAACCTAACCTAACTAAACCTAACCTAATCTAACCTGACTTAGCACCTAAGGTAGCATCACAGTGTTTAGTTATCAGGTAAAATAAGGCTGTAAAGTGCTAAAATTCGGGTGTTCCGAAGGTACTTGTCAGCCAGCAGTCATCAAGGCCTCCATATGACTTACGTTGTTTTACACATGACAGGAGGATAATATTGTCTGACAAGAGGATAACGTGTAACACTATGCCTGCATGACCTTTAATAGGTGGTTATGTCACTACCAACAACCACGCACACACACACACACACACACACACACACACACACACACACGCACACACACACACACACACAAGCCCAGTTTTGCCAGATAAGCGAGCGACCCGTACCTGTAAGTACCTGGTAAACTACCATACCAGATAAGTGGATGGTGGCGGCTAGGGATGAGCTGTTGTGGCCACCACCACCAACTTCCGTCCAGCGATAGAACTAAACAAAGTCCATCAAGAACCAGTTATCAGAGGATTGTTCTTAGCAGTGAGCGGGTAGTTAAATTTTCCCTAAACTGGTGATGTGAGGACAGTTTACTACACGGTCTACTTAACATGTACATGAAGATTGGACACCTTAGCTTATTTCACTTCATGATTAGACATCTCAACGCTAACCTGACTACACTTAATCTAACCTTACATAATTTAACCTAACCTAACATAACATACTCTAACGTAACATAACATAACACACACTAACGTAACATAACATAACACAACACAATCCAACCTAACATAACCCTCAAGGTACCATTAAGGTGTTTAATTATTAATCAGGTGAAAAAACAAAGCAGCTAATTTTCAGATCATAAAAAATTGATTCATTAGCTGACGTACTTTATTTTCTTTTCTGAGAGCAACTGGTCGTACTGACAGTCTTCCTAGTTGCGACATTAAATCCAGAGTGACGAGAAAAACAAGACGATAAAGTCACGTGTGTTGGAGTAATGGAGTGATGGAGTGACTTGAAGGACGAAATCTGGGTTCTACTTGACTGTTTGGCTGAAGAGGGTTCTAGTATTTGGACCGAAATAGACCAGCTCCAAGATTTCCCCTTTAATTTCTCCATGTGGGGTTTTACTTCTTTTACCAACGTGACCAATACCTTATCTCTGCATTCACACACACATACACACACGACAACAACAACAACTTACACACACACACATTAACATACCAAAAACAAAATAGATAAATATACATAAACATGAACCAAGGGAAAACTTCGCTGACACAAACACTGAACAATGTGACAGGTAACCCCGACAGGACTTATTATGGTCGAAGTGATTATGAACGTTATCTCGCCTCGCCTTGATAACGCACCAAACATTCTATATGCATTATTGTTCAACGTTGATGAGTCATTGCCCGGCTTCACTAACTAAGGCTGTCCAACTGAGGAGCTTTGACTGACCATTGGTGTCGTGTATGTGAGGTCGTACCACTAACACTATACCATTGGAGTCGCACCATTAACACCGTACAACTAAAATCGTACCACTAATGCCGTACCAGTGAGATCGTAGTCCCATCGGTGTTGGAACAAAGAAGTTGTACCACAGAACAACTTCATAATACAAAAACCTCTACAATTCACCATACTTGGAAACAAAATGGACCACATAAAGATTAAGCTCCTTTTTATTTCATCTAGGAGGTTAGGTAAGGTTAGGTTAGATTAGTTAAAGTTAGATTAAGTTAGGTTAAGTTATGTTACGTTACCTTACGTTAGCCTTAGGTTGGGTAATCTCCACGTGAAATAAACCTTGGCTCATCTTCTTGTAATCCCAAAGTACTATTGTTGCATTAAGAGGCGAAATATTTATAATTTGCAACACTAAATAATTCACTACACCATGAGTACAAAATCCTTGATAATTCGCAACAAACCCGAATACAAAAATTCAATAGCAGCCAGAGTAAAAAAAAATCAATTATTCACAACACCAAAAGCACAAAAACCTCAATAATTCGTAACACCCATAGTACAAAAACTCAATAATTCGCAACACCCAGAGTACAAAAACTCAATAATTCGCAACGCCAAATCTTAACACCAATACTAATAATTACACTCCTTACCACACCAATTTACAATGACTATATACTGTATATCAACATACTTGTCCACTTGGATGTGTGAGATGTGATGGGGGAGTACTAAGTCAGCACGAGGTAGTGTATTGGTTGGGTGCCGCTGTGCTGTGAGTACTGATGTAAAAGAGGCACACACTCTTGGACTCACTATCTCTCTCTGATATGAGAAACTTATCTAGAATATTGACGATAAGTTGGGTAATCCTGAGTGATAGCCTCCCTGACACACACACCTGAGGCAATGAAGATAGTGTTAACCCACCAGGTCTGAAAAGTCGGTGATTCCAGCGCTGCAGCTCATGTTATACGGGTCTTTATTGGTCGATAACAAGTCCAACACTGTCCGGCATGTGATTCATTGGGGGTGTGATGGATCACATGATGGACAGATATAGGTGCATAGTTTATCTCTCTCTCTCTCTCTCTCTCTCTCTCTCTCTCTCTATATATATATATATATATATATATAGCTAACAAGTCCTCATAATTTTAACCTTAATTAATAAATATTTGCTGCCTAAACACTCTTCATCAGTCAGTCACACAACACATTTAACACCGCCGTCTACAAGAAAACAAAGGAGACAGTTGTTTACAGAGGAACCAGCTGTACCTACACTGACGCACACTCCAAAGACAGTGTGGTGTTGTTGGTGGCGTTGTTGCTGGTGTTGTTGGCGGCGTTGTATTGGTGTCGTTGGTGTTGTGTTGGTGACGTGGGTGGTGTTGTTGGTGGCGTGGTTGGTGGTATTTTTGTTGGTGTTGTTGATGGCGTTAATGGTGTTGTTAGTGGTGTTGTTGATGGCGTTGTTGGTGGTGTTGTTGGCATTAATGGTGTTGTTAGTGGTATTGTTGGTGGTGTTGTTGGTGGTATCGTTGGTGGTGTTGTTGGTGGTGTTGGTGTTATTGTTGGTAGTGTTGTTAGTGGTGTTGTTGATGGCGTTGTTGGTGGTGTTGTTGGTGGTGTTGTTGGTGATATTGTTGGTGGTGTGTTGTGGTGGTACGTTGGTGGTGTTGTTGGTGGTGTTGGTGTTATTGCTGGTAGTGTTGTTAGTGGTGTTGTTGATGGCGTTGTTGGTGGTGTTGTTGGTGGTGTTGTTGGTGATATTGTTGGTGGTGTTGTTGTTGGTGTTGTTGGTGGTGTTGGTGATGTTGTTGATGGTGTTGGGTGGTATTGTTGGTGATGTTGTTGATGGTGGTGGTGGTGGTGTTGGTGGTGTTGTTGATGGTGCTGGTGGTGTTGCTGGTGTTGTTGGTTGCATTGGTGGTGTTGGTGGTGTTGTTGATGGCAATGTTGGTGTTGGTGGTGGTGTTTTTGGTGGTGTTGTTGGTTGCATTGGTGGTGTTGGTGGTGTGTTGTTGATGGTGAAGTTGGTGGTATTGTTGGTGATGTTGTTGGTGGTGTTGTGGTGTTGTGATGGTTGCATTGGTGGTGCTGGTGGTGGTGTTGTTGGTTTGTGTTAGCGTTGTTGGTGGTGTTGCTGGTGGTGCTGGTGTTGTTGGTGGTGCTGGTGGTGTTGCTGGTGGTGTTGTTGGTGGTATTGTTGACGCAGTTGGTGGTGTTAATGGTGTTATTGGTGGTATTGTTGGTGCAGTTGGTATGTTGTTGGTGGTGCTGGTGGTGGTGTTGTTGGTGGTGTTGTTGGTGGTGTTGTTGGTGGTTTTGTTGGTGGTGTTGGTGGTGTTGTTGGTGGCATTGGTTGCTGTTGGTGGTGTTGTTGGTGGTGTTGTTGGTGGCGTTGGTGGTGTTGTTGGTGCAGTTAGTGGTGTTGGTGGTGGTGGTGTTGCAGTTGTTGGTGGAGTTGGTGGCGTTGGTGGTGGTGCCGTTGGTTTTGTTGGTGTCGTTGGTGCTGTTGGTGGTGATGAATATACAGTCACTCAATCACCTTCAGGGTCTTACCTTCCGGGTGTTGGTGTTGCTCCAGATGGACCTGTCACTGTCACCATCTAGTCCCCGACGGCTCCTCCAACCCTAAATGCTTCTGCTTGAGTTACAGTTAGTTGTTGTTACCGGTATTTGAGACTCGCCTTCGTTTCCCTAACTGGGCACATTTGAACTTGAGAACACGAATTTTTCTAAGATCTCATGAAATGTGGTAGAGAAGAAAAATTGTGTTGACGGTGTTTCTGTGATGATGGTGGTGATGTTGTGGGAAGACTGGAGGTGGTGATGTTGTGGGAAGACTGGAGGTGGTGATGTTGTGGGAAGACTGGAGGTGGTGATGTTGTGGGTGAAGTGAGGATGATGGTGGTAGTAGTATTGATAATGGAGGTTGTAGTGGGAGTGGTGAGTTGCGCCGGAGTGAGCTGGTGACGAAGGACTTGCTTATCTTCCACTGATAAAGAGCACCACTGACAAACTCACCAACCCCATCTGAGTCACATCCTCCATGAACTTTACATCATGACGCACACACATACACACACTACTACTACTACTACTTTGTTGTCACTCGGAATCGAGTATGGCGATCATCCAGTTATGATACAACAATATGAGTTATTAAAGGTGTCATCTTCGTTTGCCATATTCCTAGTCACTTACATGAGCTTGTAAACACGGCAGCTTGTGTTGGATGGCCAAAAAAATTGTTGGGCCATGCGCGTGTGGCAAATGCATTATTTCACATAATTAGAAAGACGATTTAGAGAGATATTTAGTTGTTATTTTATACCGGCACAATAATATATTGTAAAATAATTTTTTTATAAAATTGAACTTTTTTATCTGTTCGAAACAAAATACAGATTTTTTCATCTGAGAACTTGGCACCAATGTTTGCGCGGTTGTTATCAAACATGGAGAGGAGAGAGTGTTCTGCAGCCCTGTCAGTAACCCAGCACATAGCACTTTTGCGCCTTAGCGCCTTATCGAGCAAAGGCCAGTCGTCAAGGACAGGTCTACTAGTACTGTAACTCAATAAATGATAGCAAAAGAAAGGCCTGGGATGAAATTACTGCCTCATTCAACGCCAGCAACCTACAATAGACCAACTCCCTCGCACAGCCAAGCACCTCAAGAGGAGCTCCAACATAAAAAGGAGTAAGTACAGGTATATGCTTATTTTTCTAAGTTTAGTATTTAAAAATACGTTATTTTGCCATTAGGTTACTAAATTGAGTAGGGTTACAGTATTTAAGTGACGTTTCATGTGAGGAGTCCCACCTCCTACCGAAATAGACAGAAGGAAAGCTCCCATCTCGCCTCCTTTTACTTAGTTGTGTTCTGACCTCACTAGGGGAAAGGTCACGGCAGGGTTAGCTCCCGAGGGGTAATTATCAGATATGGCCAGTGTTATGTGCGGTCTTGGGTAAGTGAGTTTGTTGACCAAACTGGAGTGGTCCATGGAACAATTGGCGAGGGCCAAGGAAGAAATTGAGAGGACCACGTTGGAGAACCTGAAATTAAAGGAAGAGCTGGCGAAATTAAAAGGGGAGCCAGTGTCTGACGAAAACTCAAGCGAGTGGAAGGTGGTGAGTAGTGGGAAGACGAAGCTGGTGGTGAAGAAGTACACCAAGGATACTGTTATGTTCTGGATAATAAGTTCAATATACAGGAGAGAACATAAACACCTGTATAGATTTTGTAGGTTCGATTTACTGGATCAGAGATATGTACACAGAGGGAAGTAGCGCTCCTCAGCTTGGCTGCCTGTCAACTACTATAGACGACGTATGGCAAGTGATACATTAGCAGCTTCCTTACGTCGCCAGGCACATTAATTAAGCATGTGGGATATGGTAATTACATTGCCACACGCTGCTAGCTAGGCTGAATAAATAATACATAAATGGAGCACATACATAATATACATACATAATATATAATCCAGCATACATAATATACATACAGATACGACAACAACGACAACAACAGCTAAGTGTACCAACCAGTTCAGTCCCTTGATAGACGAATTGGACGTTAGTACAGTCAGGGACAGGGATGACAAGGAAGGTATAAAATCTTTAATTTTTGGTGACTCACAGGTAAGGTACATGGACAGGGCCTTTTGTGGTAAAAACAAAAATAGGATGAGGGTGTGTTTGCCAGGAGCTGGGGTGGGGGATATAATTGACAGGATGGACAATATCTTGTCTGGTAATGGGAACAAACCCATTATCTGCCTCAGTGCAGGAGGCAATGATATTGGCCGGTGTAGGAGCGAGGAGCTTCTTGATAAGTTCAAGGCAGCTATAGATCGTATTAGGACAAAGGGAGGGATCTCTATCATATGCTGTGTCCTGCCTAGAAGGAGAGTTGGCAGTGAATGGTTGTCAAGGGCAGTTGGTGTCAACGACCGTCTTAGCAGATATTGCAAGTCAATATCAGTCCCATTCATTGACAACTGGGACAACTTCTATGGCAGAAGGGACCTTTATGCTAGGGATAGGGTGCACCTGTCTAGGGATGGAGTAGCAACCCTGGCTGGAGCTCTAGAGGGGGCAGTTCAAAAGATATCGAAGTCTTTAAACTGCTAGGAGAACATATGAGCACTGGGGTGGAGGAGACTGCAGTGGGAGCGGGTAAACAAAGTGAAAGATTACATAGAAATAGTGTTAGGAATGATGACTAAGCTAAATTAGAAAGGGAGTTTAATACTAAACGCGGTAAAGGGAGGACTCAGAACACGACTAACTTAAATGTATACTACGTGAACAGTAGAAGTATGAGAAACAAAATGGATGATATTAGGGCCTTGGTATGTACCGAAAAAATCGATATAATAGCATTCACTGAAACATGGCTCAACCTAGACACACGTGAGTTACCAGTCGAATACCAAATTGCGGGTTACAAACTGTTCCATACCGATAGGCAGACCAGGAAAGGAGGCGGAGTAGCAATCTATGTTTGGGATAATCTGAAGTGTGAAATAAATAAGAAAATAAAAACTGAGCGGAATACAGAAACAATTTGGATAGAATTAATCGACGGTAGGGAAAAATTAATCACAGGAGTAATATATAGACCTCCCAATCTTGATAGAGTCAATGAGCGACTTATCTGGGATGAAATGCGCAGGGCTTCCATACACAACAAAGTCTGTATAGTAGGCGACTTTAACCTTGGCCAAATAGATTGGACTGACCATACAGGTAACTCAGAATCAGAGGATTTTCTCGAGATGATCCAGGACTGTTTTCTAAGTCAACATATAACCGAACCCACACGTGGTAATAATATACTCGATTTAGTTTTGTCAGAGAAAACTTCATTAGCAGTGTCGAGGTAGGGAACAAACTTGCAAACAGCGATCACAAAGAAATTAGATTCCAGTTAGATTTTCAGGGCAGACGTAAGGAAAATTCCACTAAAGTACCAGATTTCAGAAAGGCAAACATTGACAGTTTAAAGAGGCAGCTGAGAGAGGGGGTGTCGCGCTTGGCCGTGAACCTGACAGATGACACCGACCTCATAACGAGATCTGAGATTGCCGAGTTCCACGACAATTTAAATAGTGAGTTACTTAATGCACAAAGGCAGAACATACCATACAAAAAACTCAGATCAGACAACAATGACCCTAAATGGATAAATAATTATTTAAAGAACATCATTGGCCAAAGGAAGGCTATAGGTAGAAGGATAAAGCGTGGCAAAATTTACCTCCAGGATTATTATAAGATATTGGCGAGTAGGGTTAAAACTGAGATAAGGAAAGCAAAGAGGAATAATGATGTAAGGATAGCAAGGGAGGCGAAGACAAACCCCATAGGATTCTACCAAATGTATCAAACTAAAACACGAGAAAAGATTGGACCAATACAGTCAGATACCGGCGAGCTCACTGATAACGACAGAGAAATGAGCAATAATTTGAATAAATATTTTTCAACAGTTTTCACCACCGAAAATTTAAACATGATACCTGGGGCACCGACTCTATTCAGAGATAGTGAAGAAAACAAATTAAGCGAGATAGTAGTGACTAGTAACGATGTTAGTAAGCAAATAGACAAACTAAAGCCTAATAAGTCACCTGGTCCCGATGAGATATTTGCCAGAGTATTAAAGGAATTTAAGGAAGAGCTTTGTGTGCCCTTAGCAAAGTTGTTTAACATGTCCTTAAAAACAGGTGTAGTACCAGAATCCTGGAGGATAGCGAATGTAATACCGATTTTCAAGAAGGGGGATAGATCGCTATCCTCTAACTACCGCCCAATCAGTCTAACATCAATAGTAGGCAAATTTCTGGAAGCAATCATTTCAAACTCTATTCGAAATCACCTGGAGAAGCACAGATTAATCAATGATTCCCAGCATGGCTTCACAATCGGACGTTCTTGTCTAACTAATCTATTAACATTCTTTTCATCAGTTTTCGAATCGGTGGACGAGGGGCACAATTATGATGTGGTATATCTCGACTTTAGCAAAGCCATCGACAGAGTCCCCTACGAAAGACTAATTAGAAAGGTAGAAGCTCATGGCATCAAAGGTAACATCCTTAAATGGATTAGGGCGTGGTTACAGGACAGGAAACAGCGAGTGAGCATTAACGGCACTAAGTCCCATTGGAGCAACGTCACAAGTCGAGTTCCCCAAGGCTCAGTACTTGGACCATTATTATCTATTATATACATAAACGGCATAGATATCGGCATAGACAGCAACATAAGTAAATTTGCTGATGACACTAAAATAGGACGTGTTGTTAAATCTGACGAGGACTCAGCAAAACTACAGGAAGATCTAAACAAATTTTTCGAATGGTCTGAAAAATGGCAGATGAAATTCAACATGGACAAATGTAAAATACTCAGTATAGGAGATGTAAACAGGGAAACCAGATACCAGATGAACAACGATGCCATAGAGAAATCCGACTGCGAGACAGATTTAGGAGTAATGATAAGTAGGAACCTTAAACCAAGTAAACAATGTGTTTTTGCTCGTAACAAGGCTAATAAAGTATTTGGGTTCAGACAAAGGAGTGTTAGTTACAAGACTAGCGAGGTCATCCTAAAACTGTATCTTGCTCTTGTGAGACCACACCTGGATTACGCAGTTCAGTTCTGGTCACCGTATTACAGAATGGATATAGAATCCTTGGAAAGAATTCAGAGGAGAATGACAAGACTAATCCCGGGCATTAGGAACCTTGAGTATAGAGACAGGTTAAAGCATCTTAATTTGCACTCCCTCGAGAGACGTAGAGCGAGGGGCGACCTGATAGGGGTGTACAAGTGGAAGGCAGGGCTAAACAAAGGGGACATTACAAAGGTACTCAAACTATCCAACCAGGAGCGAACTCGTAACAATGGTTTTAAATTAGACAAATTTAGATTTAGGCGTGAAATAGGTAAACACTGGTTTGGAAA